CCCCAAAACCCCAAAACCCCAAAACCCCAAAACCCCGGGAAGTGGATGTTTGTTGGATATTTGATTTTGAAGGGTTTAATTTAATTTTAAATTCTGATTTCAGATGGCATTATTTTAAATTACAAAAATAAGTGAAGTTTAAATAATATTTTAATTGGTTCTTAAAAATACCAATCTCAAAATACATCACTTCAAAATAACTCCTGATTCTAACCTCCTATTCCTTCATATATTTCTAATCATTCCTCTCTCTAGACTTCGCAGACCTTCCTATATCCAAACAATCCCAATTTCCCCTCAAACAAACAAGAAGTTCAACCTTTTCTCTTCGCCAAAACGACTTATCCCTCCTTAAACCTCCCAAAAAGCCCCTAAAATACCCCTTAAAAAGCTCTCAAAGACCAAAGCCCCTTCTCGAATCCGAAGCAAGAAGCCTACTCTCCCCCCTCCTCATCAAAAACCCACTTCTGGTCAAAAGAGGCCTTCAGCAGTCCAGACCAAAACCTCTGCTAAGAAGCTGAAAATAATAGAACCCGATTCTTACTTCCAAAATCCCCAACCCCCAAAACCTCCAAAAAGGCCGAAGAACTGGTCGAAACCCCTAAGATAGCCACTCTGGAGGATTTTTTGACAACATATTTCTGATACCCGGAAGGAAGTCTGCCTCTGGGGGGTTCCAGAACTCGAGGCTTTAGAGAATGGGAATTTAAGAATAAGCGAAAGCTTAGGATTGTGAGTTGATATATGAGTGGAGAAGGCGTGGGAAGGACTGAAGGAATTGGGCTGATGAGTAGGGTTGGAAAGATGGGGGTTGGGGTAGTGGAAGTGGGTTGGGGAGGAATTGGGATAGAAAGATGTGTTGTGATGGAAGAGAGTGGATTAGAGAGGCAGAAAAGGTTTGGTTTTGAGAATCTTGAAGGAATGGATGGGGTTACGATGGATGATTTTGAGGGTAATTCTATAATTTTTGATATATAGACTCGGAACCAATCGAGACTAATCCTTCCTTTGGAGGTGAAACCTTATCTTGGTTGATGATAAAGATTCAAATTTTATATTTTCTTGGCTAAATTTAGTGGTTCTATAAGTCTGACAAAATTCTATTCATCTTTTACATCTTCAGGATTTTCCATATGATGTTAAAAATGCTTCAAATATTCTTACTTCAAACCATTCTTATCTACTTCGAATCAAAAGAGTCTCTTTAGCCATAATGCAATATTTTTACAAATATTTTATAGAAACAAGAATTTACTCAGAACAAGCTTTAAGTGGCAAAGTTATGAGTAATTTGATGAGCACTCTTCATTTGGATAAATTTATCAACGATGATGAAATCAATGCCACAAATGATCAACTCAAACAGCTAGAACTCACCATGAAAAGAACCAAATCCAGCAGAGTCACTCTCGATGCCATCAAGCTCCAGCTCTAATCACAGCTTCAGAGTATGAATCTGAAGCAGAACAGTCAGGTCCTAGTTAAGCTGCTCGAGCAACAAGAAAGCTTCAAAGAGAAACTCCGAATTGCCAAGCGAGCCATCCAAGTCCGAGACAACCAGATTCATACGATGCAGTCTCAGGTTGGAGTGGTTCCGCTTGACATGACACAGTCTAGGCTCCATCTGGCATTTCTGTTTTCGTCACCACTGATCCGTAACATCAACGGCAAGTTCGAGAACATCATGCAGCTTGACTACCTGACCGAGATCCAAGATATCGTCAGAGTCTGCAACAAGATGCAGTACGAAATGAAGTACAAGTCCGAAGTGGCCACAGTCAACAACTTCAGAAGCGTCATCACAGATGGACCCATTGCGCTGTACTTTTCTGGACATGGCATCCAGAACACCAAAGCCAACATCGGTGTCGAGTACTACTTGAGCAGCGACAAAGGCAACATTCTGCTTCTCGAAGATGAACAAGGCATGTCTCATTACCTGTACGAGCAAGACCTCAAAAGCATGATCAAGATGGCCAACACTCAGCTCGAAGTGGTCTTTGTGTCGTCATGTCACTCTCAGTTTGCAGGGGAAGTGTTCTTGAACTCTGGAGCCAAGCATGTTGTCTGAATCAGACAAGGTGACAAAATCTCCGACAAAACCTCACTTAGGTTTTCTAAAGTATTTTATGAAACGTTGTTTGTCAAGAACTACAATGTGTGCACATCATTCCAGATTGCTAAAGATGAAATCAGAAAAGTCTTCAACTCGACTGAAGCCAACAAGTTCTTGCTTCTGACTCAACAGAGCAAGTCAGGCTCGCAGTTAGAAGATGACAAACATCACAAGTGCCATGCACTTGCAAACTTCAAGCAAGGCACTCTGGTCAGCATGAATGAACAGACAATGTTCGAGTCACATCCTTCCAATGTTGAAGGGTTTCTCGGGAGGCAACGAGAAATGTATGAAATCATCAAACATATTACCGAGAACAGACTCGTGACAATCCTAGGTCCAGCAGGTATTGGCAAGACCAGTCTGGCTAGGAACCTTGCGAACTATGTCAAAGACAGACACAAGTTCAGTGATGGAATCATCTATGTGGGACTCAGAGAATGAAAGTCGGCTCATGAGTTCATGACTCGACTCTACCTGACCATCAGACAGAGCTGATCACTACAAGATGTCCAGAAGTATGACCTCAACAGCTTCGACAGAGACCTCACAACAACTCGTAAACTCAAGGCTACACTAACAGAAGCTCAGGAAGGCAAATACAGAAACTTCATTCTGAACATTCTCAAACACAGAGAAGTGCTTCTGATACTTGACAACGTTGAAGACCCTCTAGACAGCGATTACTCAGCATTTATTTCTGAACTCGAGTCAATCATCGACAATTGCAACATACTGAGAGTGCTGGTGACATCACGTCAAACTCTGAACAGACTCTCGTTTCATCATGAGAAACCCTACAACTTGTTCGAGTTGTCTCAAGAATCAGCTTTGAAGCTGCTGATATCGAAGGCTCCTAGAGACATCAAGCGACAAGAAATTCAAGAACTCTTGGCTTGAAATATGCCGAACAGCGGTAAAGTCAAGAAAGGCTTCAACTTCTTGCAGGCACTCAACACTGTTGCTCCTCGAACTCTGCTTGACCACCCGTTTACTCTGCTACTTGGTGGCCACCCTCAAGCGATCTCGCTGGCTGCTCCACTTCTGAAGTATAAAACACTTAGAGAACTGTTTCTGGACTTCTGTAACTCGAACATGATGGATGCACTCGAAGTTGCTAGTGGCCACTAAAATCAGAGCACTTCGCTCAAAGTGTCACTGGAATTGAGTATCAGTCAGATGCAGAACAACACTCCGAAGGCTCTAGACTTCTTCGGGTTCATCGGGTTGTTTCCAGGCGGAATCAGACAGGCTGAACTCACTCATATTTGGAATGACAACTCGTGGATTGGCTACAAAGACGAACTCATCAGAGCTTCGCTTCTGGTCTACAAGAAGAACAGTCAAGACGAGTTTGTGTTCAGTCTGCTACCGTTCATGACTATTCGAGCCTGAGAGTACTTGGACTCTGACACTGAGCTCAAGTCTGAATATCACTCAATGGCCTGCCAGTTGTATCTGAGTGAGTGACAGAGTATTTACGAGGCTGACAAAAGCATCGAAACCGTCCAGAAGTTCACAGAGATCGAGACCAATGTGTGGGCCTGAATGTATAGAGCAGTAGCCTCATCAAGAGTTTCATCAAAACACAAACTAACCAAATCGATCACAGATGTGAGTCAGTTGTCTCTGGCTGACATTGAGCAGTATTTGATGAGTCCTTCTGGTTCAAAGCTGAGCAATCAAGAGTGAGAGCAACAACTGGTTGCATATTTCACATGAGTATTGTTTCAGTAAGTTCACAACATCATATTTAGGCTGAACAAAGTAAATGAGCATGTGGTAGCATTGGTCGATTATCTGATACAAAATTGTGAGTAATACCAAATCATATATCTTCAATGTATTATTTCCATCGTGGGGTTTTGGGGTTTTGGGGTTTTGGGGTTTGGGG